CTCTTAATATGTCATGCCCCCCTCCTCCTCTTAATATGTTATGCACCCCCTCCTCCTCTTAATATGTCATGCACCCCCCTCTCCTCCTCTTAATATGCCATGCCCCCTTTCGTGTAAATTACAGACGGCTATCATTAGTAGGAGACAAGACCCTACTTATGAATTTAAAGAATTTTGAAAATTCTAATTTTAACAGAAGTTTGTAGATAAAAGTTCTCCAATACATACTTTTGCATAAAAAGAGGAAAAATTTACTCGCCTAAACATAAATCATTAATATTTAAAATTTCATAAAATGAAAAAGTTCCATTTTGAATAATGCAAAATATTAAGTCACTTGATTTAAGATTTAATACCTGGTGCTACAGTGAGAACCTAAAACTCTGAAATAAGAAGACGACTTTAGATAGTTCAATGAATATGAGACACAGCAATTGTGCAGTGTAACACAGACCCTTCTTAAACGAGCTACTATAGTAAAACTATTTGCTTTATATTGAAAAAATGTTTTCTACCTATTTTAGAGTTTTCTGGTCCTAAAAGACGAAAAATAAGTTTTAAAATCTAAACAAAATTTCGAAGAAATAAAAGATTTTTGGAAAAATTATCGAACCATTTCGCACTTGGTAAAATTTGAAAGCAATGTGAAAGATTAGGTTGTCTTTCTTAATCATAAGAATTAAATATTGCGTATATTGGGTTTTATAAAGTTAAAATCCGAAAACATTGTTTGACGTTTGAATTTAGTAAAAGTACACTAAAACAAAAAATTTAGTTCCACTGTCAAGTTTGTTTTCCAAGTTTAAAAACAAGTTTATTTGCGATTGAAGTTAACTTAACAAGGTTTACAGGTGTCACTGTCTTCTGACCGACACAATATTTAGTTTTCAGGGAAAATTAGACAATATATATTCAATGCAATACTAAGCTTAAAAAACAAACAATCGACACAATGAAGGGACCAGAGTTTACTTCTTTTAAAATTCAAAAAATATTCCAAAACATAAAAAAATATAAGATTACTTAAAGTGAAAAATTACGGATTTTATATAAATATTAGCTTGGGAACCCAGCTTTGCCTTGAAATAAAGTTTTTATATAAGTCAACCTGTGGCCGAATTTAAAGAATTTGAGCGGCGGTTTAAATTTAAGCTGCTGTTTAAATATGGTTGGTTCCACTTAAAATTGTATCAAATATTTCAAGATTTAAGTCGGCGCTTAATTTAAACCGGGTTTTGGCAGATTTAAATAAGGGAAAAGGGAAAAAACCACACAAAAAAATTTCAGAATAGTAAAAATAAACTCGGGGGGACCTTGAAGTTGAACTTTTTTGGGCACTAAAACACTCCATTATATACTACTAAATCCAAAAAATTTCTTTGCACCCCCCGCCACAGCAAACTTTTTTGAAGTTGGTAAAATATACCTTTCATTAAGTTGTGGATTTGGGGAAAAAATGATTCTGAAAGGTAGGGGAGTCTCACAACTAATATACACCCCTGGGTCATTACTGTACAGCGTAAAACTTGCCCTAGCTTCCTGAAAGTGAGTTTAAATGAACCAGTTTTTAAAGTGAATCGGTGATGGAATTCTTCAAAATCGATTTCACGATGACAATCCTTGCAAATCAGAAATAATATTGTCCGAGGAGAAATCTGAGAGAAAATGCATGGTTCAAAGACTCCTGCTACACACCGGATACTGGATCCACTCTCATCATGAGACGCAAACTTTAGAACTTGAAAATCCACGAAACCAAGTTTTAAGTTTTCGACACCCATTATATAAGTTGTAATATACGGAAAATGTCTGCTACATTTAGTGCAAACTCCGGGATATTGTATTACATCCGTCTAACGTTAATTCTGTCCTACGATACTTAGGACCTACCCGCACGTGGGTTTTCAGCAGCTTCAAGGTGCTGTTGGTTCGATGTACTGTATGTCCAAAACACACTTCATTAAAAAAGTTAGTGTTTCCGAACTACTGTGTCGGTTGTACAGCTTTCTTAAGTCATGCATGTTGCACTCTTCTGTAGGTCGAGGATGCACAATATTTGTAAGTCGGCTGTCGGATGCACAGCATTAGTAAGGTCGGATACACAACTTTAGTAGGTCGGATGCAAAACTTTCGTAGGTCGGATACACAACTTTAGTAGGTCGGATTCACAACTTTAGTAGGTCGGATGCAAAACTTTAGTAGGTCGGATACACAACTTTAGTAGGTCGGATTCACAACTTTAGTAGGTCGGATGCAAAACTTTAGTAGGTCGGATACACAACTTTAGTAGGTCGGATTCACAACTTTAGTAGGTCGGATGCAAAACTTTAGTAGGTCGGATACACAACTTTAGTAGGTCGGATTCACAACTTTAGTAGGTCGGATGCAAAACTTTAGTAGGTCGGATACACAACTTTAGTAGGTCGGATGCAAAACTTTAGTAGGCCAGATTCACAACTTTAGTAGGTCGGATGCACAACTTTTGTAGGTCGGATGCACAAAAAAAGTAGTGTATCCGACCTACTGTAGGTCGGTTGCACAGCTTTCTTAAGTTGGTTGCAACCAATTTTTTTTTGTAGGTCTAACGCACAATAAATGTCTTAACCTAACATAACCCAAAATATCGGCTATAGCTCTGTCATTTTGATAAAAGTGGCAGCAGCGCTCGGCCCCCTAGCCTGTCCTGGCTGCAGTGCTCGGCCCAGAAATGGTCTTAACCTAACCTTACCCCACATAATGTCTATCACTTGGTCATTTTGATAAATGTGGCCGCAGCACTCGGCTCCCTAGCCTGTCCTAGCC